GGCTTCTGCCTTTTGAGCTCGGGAAGTTGGCAAGGAGGAAAATGACGAGGAGGATGGGAAGCCACGTATCTGTTTCAATTAAAGAAATTTAGTGTTTAGTGCCACAAAGCTGAAACATTAGTCAGACATTCCTGTTGGGAGAACTGGCAGGAAATAATATGATTTACAATCTGGGGTATGTCTGCAACATAAAAGGAAGAGAAAAAGTCATTTGCTGGTTGCGTACTTCTGGTCCTGGATTAATTTACGGAGGTATTTTGCTTGTAAGCCGACCAGCGATCAAAGCACTCTGATGTGTGATTGCTTCAAATTGCCTAAGTTAAGCAAATATTCTATTTTCGGTGTCCCTTTGGGTTTTCATCTTTTATTTCAGTTCTCTGGAAATTGAAATGCCAGCTTGTGCTTGAAGTTTGGTAACTTTTCACATTCCAGGCTGGAACAAATCTGAGTACGAGCAGCTTGCAGACCCCAGGTCATCACCAGGGGCCTGGCAGCCATGCCATTTCAGAGCCAAGCCAGAGTGTTCAACTGGTAAACATGGGCAGCACTGCACAAATAATGGATGTTTTCACATGTGGTGTGGTTTTTTTTACGCCTTAATCATAACTTGTGAAGTTGTTTTTAGGTCATCTAGTTCTTTTCAACTTGCATCAGAGACTGGAGACGGCGTGGGTCAGAGTGGCGCAGCCAGACCTGGTGTGGATGGACGTTATGCTGGGTTCTGGTTGGAAAGATTTGCTGCCCCAAGTGGCTTATTTCCCAGAACAGGCTGAAATAGGGAGAAGTGCCCAGTGCAGTAGCACTTGGCTGCCCCAGCCAGTCTCTCTTGGTTCAGGAGCGAGCTCAAGGCAGTGCTCAGATAGAAACGCGACGCAGAAGTGAAACCAGTCTGGTTTTTCTTTTTGAAGAAAATGCTGAATTCTGTTTGTGCTCAGCAGCAACGCAGGCAAATGAGCAGGAGCCGTCCAAACACAGCTGTGGGGGCCAAAGAATTCAGTCTGCAGTGTTGTGATTTGTGGTGGTCAGCCTTTGAAATGAGCCTTGTAGAGCCTGGGGTGTGGGTAGCTGGCAATGGAGAGATGGGAAAACCTGGGAAAGCAGCCTGTGAATTTCTGTAAATGTTGGTAGTGACTTCCTTACTCTGTGCAGCTTACATCCACTTTCATGCTGGCTGCCTACACGTGTAAGGTCAGAGGAGTCCCTTGCTCTTAAATAACAGTGACCTTAATATGCCCTCTTTCAGGCACTGGAACATGGAAACATAATAGTTTACCGCACGATCAACAAACCCTCCTCAAAACAATCAAACACACTGCAGTAGCTTCCTGTCTTCCTTCTTTGTGGCTTCTGCATTGAAGGACATCTGTCCATCCTCAGCCTTCTAACACAGCTGCTTACTCCTGTATGAACAGAATAAATAAACACGTACACAGCCGTACCTCTGTGCAACTATGCTCTTAGATAACTTGGTTTTCTCCAGATTCAATGCTGTGCTGAGATGATTTGTGGCTGTTTTGAGAGTTTCTGTCTTTGCTGTGCTTGGCTTATTTGCTAGAGACTGAAGAGAAGAGCAGAATGCAGGCAGAAGAAGCTAAACAACCGTTCCTGTAGACATATTCATAGCATTTTGCCCTGCGGTAGATGGGAGCAGCATAGCAGAGTGGAGATAGCCAGATATCTTAGAGGAAACTTATTAAGAAGAGCTTTCATCTTGACTAATATTTTCAGTCTTTGAGATTCCTGTGATCTTTGAAATCCTTCAGTGACTTGAGCTGTAATAAAACTTCATTTAGAATTTCTGTCTGAGCTCCCTACTCCTCCACAGGAGTTCTGTGCTGGATATAACAGTGGGATGGGGGAAAGCAGGCTGGTATCAAGTAAACACTAAGCTCATTAAGTCCTGCAGCCTCAAAGCGCTTGGCTTCGAGTCCAGGCTGAGAGAGGGCTGTCTGATCACCTCACCAAGCAGGGGGATAAGCCTCTCCATGGCTAAAGGCAGGAATTCTGCGGTGTTTTGTCTAGAGGTCTGTGAAGGAATTGTCTTCAGTATGCAATTTAATGACAGCCTTAAGCAAGTGGAGATCTAGAAGAAGTGAAGGTAGAGTGGTGAGATGGATGGGCTCAGTTGTTGTAATGAGGTGAGGTGTATTCTGAGTTCCCAAAGAGCACCTTTCTCCTGCACAATTGGTGTAAGTGTTTTGTGGGATTTCCTATTAAAATGCCACTGTCAGAATCACAGAAAAACGTGTTTGTTCTTCTGTAACATCAGGAAATGTGTGCTGCTCTAAGGGCTCAGCACCTTAGATGTGATGCCTCTTAGATATCTACAGTTATTCCATACATACCCAGCTGGGGCAGAGATTGGAAGCAAAGGATGTGTGTGACCACAGGCCTGGTTCCTAGAAACCTTGCTTCCCCAGCACAGAAAGAGCCAGGAGTGTTTGCTCCTGGTAGAATTACTGATTCTCTTCTGAAAAAGGGCATAATGAGTGCATCCAGCACCCAGACATATGGCTGTGCTGCTGTGTGTGCTTTGTATTGCCTTCTTGTTTGGGCCAGCATGGATTTGTGCTGGGTTAAAGTCACCATATAGCCACAGACTTAGGCGTAGAGATGCATCAGAACCTGCCTTTATTTCAGTGCTTTAAGGGATGTGCAGGCAAGCCATTTAAATATTATTTAAATACTCTGCAGGAAGGCTGGAATCCTGCTGTTCAGCCTCGCTTCTCCTTCAGGGAAAGAGATGCTTCTCAGTGTATGCCTGGATGTTTTTGAGCTTTTCTTGGTTGCGTGCAGCCACTTGTGCCAGCTGTGGCTGAATGCCTTTAAGAATCTCTGCCTTAAGCAGTCTTGCTCGTGTATTTTCACAGCTGTTAATGAATATACTGTTATAAAAAATGTCAGTACAAGTTCTTCTGGTTATCCATAAAAGGATTCTGCAACTGCAGAAGATAATCCTTCACTCATTGCAGTTTATTTTGAAACTGCCATACTATAAAACACCTTCTCTGAGGTTGCATTTTAATAGTGGGTTTTTAACATTATTATTTCCTTAGTTTTTTGTCTGTCAAACAATTCCAGCTGGCAGAGCAGGAGAGAGCACTTCCGTGAGCGTTCCCACGATCCCCAAGCACAGAGCATGACCTTGCAATCACATACCAGCTCTCCTGTGACGTAAGGGATAGCAGGAGGCAAAGATAATACTTGATGTGATAGATCCCCTGCCTGGGCTTGGCTGTTGCAGAGGGGCGCTCGTAGCCCACCTCAGTAATGCCTGAGGGGTGGTTGCAAGAAGTTTTCCTTTCCCTCTATTTGGAGAAGGACACGAGATGTTGCTGTCAGTGGGGAGCTGGGATTTTTGTCCCTTAGTTTCTCATGATGCCCATGGGTTATTCCCCAGCTCATGCCTGGATTGGTGTTTCATCTTCAGCTGATGTGAAACATCCTCCTGGGAGGAGGACTGTTCTCGGTGTGGAAATAAGAGGAAAGGAGCGACTGTGCTCATAAGCAGTGTTTGGAGGAGCTTCTATTCTTGAGCTTGTGACCTGCAATGGACAGCTAATGGAGAACAGCAGCACCAGGGCTGTGGGTTTCTCTGCCTGTTGATTCTTCTCTCTAGGCTCATTTCTTCTGAGGATTTGCTTGTCGCGTTACCCAAGCGCTTAAAGAGTGTGGGGATTGAATGCACCCCGATTAGGGAATGCATTCTCCTTTGATCACAGCAAGTGACTGCCGTAAGTTCTGCTCTCTGTGCAGAGAGGTGAGTTGATGCCTACCTGCCTGTAGAGCTGGGGTGTTTTTCCAAAGGTGATTCCCAGTAACCTAAGAAATAACTACACAATCTCCCCCAACCGGTCTGTCTGACTTGCTGTCCATGCGATATTTACCTTTTGATAATGAATGGGCAATGCCTTTTTAGATCTGTTTTCATAAAGCTTGACTTCCTACTGCTTCTCCTTGGCACGGGGGCTGCTACTTGAATCTCGTGGCAATGCAAGTGCTTCAGTTTTGAAGCCTTTAAGTACATCTTAGAGCTTGGTTGAATGTAGGAGGAGAAAATTAAAGTTAAGCTTGTTGTGTATGGGTGTCTAGAAGTAGAGAAACAAAAAGGGAGGGGAAGAAGCAGTGAAAATAAGCTTGCTGTGCTTCAGGATGGCGATGTGCTGATGAAAGGAGTGTGCTGTTGGGTTTGCAGGGAAGTGACACTCGCCCTTGGTGAGAAGAAGAGCAGAAGGTTGTGCTGGGAGCTTGGTTCCGCTCACTGAGTGCCTGTGATGATGTCTGTTGCAGATTTTCCAACTCTGAAATGATTCTTAAGCTTTTATCTTTTTCCGTGTGGAATTTATTGAGAGGCCAACTGTAATAAACCCCACTGGAGCGTATTGCTGTGGTTTCTCAGGAGAATTAAAGCTGTTGATTCCTTAGATACAGGCAGCTTTTGGTTTGTCTTTTGGAATAAGAAGGAAATAATGGATCATACTTTGTGCATGTTTCACTTTGTTTTTTGGTAAAGCTGAAGGAGGAGGGGTGAGATCTGTCGGAACAGAATTTGCCTTGGGTACTGATTGTCTTGAGCTGAATGACACAACACGAATGAGGAAGTGCTCGGATTGTTTCAGGAGAAGGAACTTTCAGTTCCCTAACCCAGATTAATGTTGAGATAGCATGGAAAAACATTGCATTGAGTGTTTCCTTAAGTGTAGGAGACAGATTTTGGCGAGGACTGGACTGCTTGGTGTTAAATTGCTGGCGTGGCACCAGCTTAAACTGGGCCCATTGAACTGGGCTCTAGAACCCTTCTTGCAATACCATGTGAATAATCAGTGATCAAATGGTTCCAAACAGTGTTTTTTCAAAATGTTTTGATGTAAAACATTCTGCAGATTAGAATTGCTCTCTCTCTCCCCATTAGGAGGGTTGACAAGCACCACAGTTCCAGTTCACCTGACTTTGTGCTTATCTGTGCAAACTGTGACAGAGGGATGTTTTTGTTTCTGCAGAGTGACCAGCAGCTGGATTGTGCCTTGGATTTGATGAGGCGTCTGCCTCCACAGCAGATAGAGAAGAATCTCAGTGACCTCATTGACTTGGTGAGTACTGCATGCTCCAACCAAATCATGACTGAGTCCTGGGTGTGACGGATCTGGTATGTAAGAACATTTCCTGAGGCATCTCCCAGGTATGGTGATCTGCAGTTCTCTCCTCCTGTTTCGAAATGGTTGAGGAACTGCCCACAGAACGCCAGGAATCCTGGTGTTTGTTGTGGGCAGACCAGCAGGTACTGCTGTGAGTGCATGGAGATGCTTTTGGGTAAAGAATCATCAGCACCTTTCTCGATGGAGTTGTCATCAACAGCTTGAAGGCTGCTTTTTATTCCAAATAACTGGAGAGTTCATGCAAGTCGGGTGCATGCCCTCATGCTGAGTATTCTCTCCAGATTAGCTACTTTCCAGTCTGCAGTTTGACCAGGACTTTTACCATAGATGCAGCAGTGACATGTGCTTTGGAGGCCTTACTGCAACAAAATATTGCAGGGTTAGAGCACTGCAGTTCTGGAGAATGCCCAGATCTATTTATACATTATGACATACCAGGTATTCTGCAGTCCAGTGAGTATCCAAGAAAGAACCCTTGCCAACTACCTTGTGCTGATACCTGTTTTCTGCTTGCCCATGCAACATTCATTATCCTTCCATAAATTGGTAGCAAAGTAACTGAAGTCTTACCCAGATTCCCATTCTCAGTTGCATAAGGTTGAGTTGTGCATTCTGTGAAGTGATATGCTATGCATTTGGTTTTATAGTGGGCTTGTTAGTGTCAACTGTCCCTGAAAACTGTGTGCCACAGTTGCCTCTAGAGCAGGTTAAAGTATTACTAAATGCAAATGTAATCTGTATAGAACCAACTGTAGAGGAAGCTGGGAAAATGTTTTTCCACTGTCCACTCTGAATGTGATTTATGCTTAACAGTTTTCTGACCTCAGCTTCCAGAGTTTTGTAGACAGGGATATTGAATTTGGAACGGAGCTGTAAGACCTTTGAATTAAGACTTTTCTCCTATCTTCCTGTGGGAATTGCAGCCCTTTCCTTTTGTGGAGCTGAATCTTACGCATGACTCTCAGACAAGATTTGTCAGCCACTTTAAAAACCTGGTGGTTCTGCATATAGCATCCACTTGAACTGATACCTCTTAATTAAACTGCTTCAGTTGCATCCAAGCTGTTTGCCATCTTTGTGTGCAGAAGAGTGGCTGCTTAACAGGGAAAAACGTAGCTGAGAAGTCTGTTCCTAAGTGGTGTTGCAGCTGGTGTTGGTGAACTTGGGAGGAGTCCTACAGTGAAAGAGCTCTGGCTGACTGGAGTTGATCAAACTCTATTTAAATATTGCATTTGGTTCCATAAGCCAAGGTGTAGGTAAGAAAGCTCTGTGGGTCAGGGAAATAAATCATTCCCTCCAGGAAGGGATTATTTCTCTTTCTTGAAACCATTTAGTAATTGTCTACATCTGTGCCACCAAAACTCTTGGCAGCTTAAGGCATCATTCTTGTGGCTGTTGCTGGAGGTGGGACACAATAACTAAATCCTGGTTTGATCTGGTATGATACAGTAGGTTTTCTGATGAAATGTTGGAGGAATGAGTGGATATCAAGGTTTGAGCAACTCCAAGGACCATCCAGAACGATGAGTTGTTTGGAGAGCCTATGGTAAGCCTGGCTGTGTAATTGGTATGAGGTTTTTCTAATGACTCAGAAAATTGCTACTTACCTCTCAATGTTGGAATTACTTTTGGATGGTGCTCATTAGTGTTCTACATGCTTTCCATCAGCAGCACGCTCTGGGGGCTTCTTTTCATATTGAAAGTGTAACGTGAAACAGACCAGTTTGAAACATGCTTATGAGGAGGGGTTGTATGATTCCCTCACTGGTTCCTGCAGTCCCTTCTGTGGGGTGGAGATGACATAACGTATTAAAACCAGTGTGATTTATTTATAATCTGTATTTAATTTATAATCTGTAAACCTCTTCTGCAGCCCACTCTGAGCCTGACCTCCACAAGACAGAAGCCTGCAATATTTAGATAAGAGCAGTATATGCACTGCCACCTTGTAGGAGTTCCAAAAACATCATGAGCCAGCCTGTAGCAAATAGTTTTTTGACCTTTCTTGGCAGGTTTCATCCAAACCTTTACAGCTGATGATTTTTATTCTGTTTGCTTTACCATTACCAGACAATAACCTCCTTGATGTAAAAGGTCAGGCATGGCAGGCATGAGCAGGTTCATTAAATTTGTGATAGAATTATAAAAGATGGCACCTTGACTTCTGCTTCCTTTCTATTTGGTTTCCTTGCTTCATTGCACTTCCATGCTGGAGTAGACTTGGAACAGAGACCTGAGTCTTGGTTTGTTTTTTTTGACTCTCCTGTGGGAAGCATGGGTTATTCCTTGGTCTGTTTGCAGTTCAGCTTTCCATCTTTTGATAGGAGATGATCTGCAGAATGATGCACAGCTACTGTTTTGATGCTTATTTAAACCTGTTGAAAGACATGGATGGTGACTTAAAAGTGTCTGTATGCAAAGTGTTTTCAAAACAAATCCAGGAAGAAAGTAACATCTATTTCCTAGGCTTGTCATGCTGCTGGGAAATCTAGCTGTGCTAAATTTCTTCCCTCAGGTCCCTATTATTCGATACCCAAAGCTCTGCTTTGTAATAAAAAGAGCATTTTGGTGCCAGAAAGTGTATGGAATATGTTCAAGGCTGTCCATTACTGCCCCCAAGCGTCAGGCTGGCTAGGCAAGGGGTCCAAACTTGAACATGAAGTAAAAGGTTGGGGGAAAGAATAGGATTTTTGGGTCACTGGCCCTCATCAGACCAGACACTTTTCATTCATTAGCAAAACAATCTGTGGTTTGCCCTTTTACCACATCTGTTGTTGCTTTTTCAGACTGCAGAGTCCTCAATTAGAGTTCATTAGAGACCTTGTCAATCACAGGACTCAGGAGCCCTGCCTGAAAGAAGCTGTGCAGGGTGCTGGTGATGTGCCTTGGCATGGAATGCACTGCTTGGAGTTCAATTAGTTGTTATTTGTAAAATAGACTACTTGGAGGCTGTCAGAATGTGCAAGAGGACTTCTAAATCACTGGCAAATGTGTTTAGTGCAGGTATGTGCCTTTTTAAGGGCAACTTGTTTAAATTAAAGTGTTTTTTTTCTGTGTAATGTCTCTGGAAAACCATGAGGGAAGCCTTGGAGCCTGTACCTGTGAGCCAAGTGTGGGGTGTAAAGCAGGATGCATGAAAAGGGCATGAAGGGATTGCACTGCTCATGCAAATCACACTTTCTGGCACTAGAAAGGAGGCTGGTAGTACTGTTAAATGGCTTATACTGACAGATCAGAACCCATCTGTGGGAGTTGCCCTCCTGCTTCCTTACTCTGAAGGTGACAGCTGTGCAGTAAGCCAGTCCTCACATACCTTCAGCTGTTCTCTTTCCAAAAGAAACAGCACAGAAGACATCAGCTTTCAGGTGGAGCTGTTGTGGAGGACCTCTGCTGAGGAGGTGGGTGAGCAGTGGCTGAATCCCACCTTCCTGACACCCTTCCCATCACAAGGTGGAGGAGGGGTTGGCTGTGCTCATGAGCCACATGCAAAAGTAAGGAGTCTGCAGCTGGGATGTCTTGGTGACTTTGGCTTCAAGTATGGAAGTTGATGTGCCCTCTGTGTTGGTAAAAGTTAAGCAGGTTCCTCTGCAAGTGAGAATTTCCTGCAGTGTTTAATTTGGATGCTTGCCTGTGGGTACATGTATAAGTCAAATGAAAAAAATCCAGCTGACTCAGAAGAATCAGATGGCTGGCATGAAGGTGAGAATTGTCCTTGTAAAACTTGACTGTAGAGTGGACAGGCAGACTTGCCATGTACAGGGCTTGCTCACAGCCGTGCCTTTCTTTGTCTCTCTCCCCAGTAAAGCTGGTATTCAACTTATCCCATTTTTATCCAATGTTAAACGTGAAGGCCTTCTCGTAAAGCCTCAAGTTCTTGTTGCCATGGAAGAAACAAAGCTCAAGTTCTTCTATCTATAAATCCATTGCTAACTTTGTTAGGTGTTGTCTGGTTTCTCCCAAGGGTCATTTGCAGTTACGGTTTTGAGGATGACCTCCTATGATGAGAAACATCAAGCAAAGATGAATGCTTAATTATTTTAGTAGCATGTGTTGTTAAGAAGTCCCACAGTGATGAATTTATGCTTGTATAAACCTCAGATGTTGAAATATTTGAACAGTATTCATGAGCTTGCTTCACATAGCTAGTGTGCTTCCAGACAAGCCTCAGATCTGCTTGTATGCCTTCAGTAACAGAAAATACATTGAGCTGGAGAATTTATCCTCTGGAAAACTGCACAGACCATAAAGAACATGAGAATGTGGCTGGAGCTTTATGTATTTGGAATCCAAAAGCCTGAGCAATCTGCAGTACTGAGAAGAAAGATAAAATAATTGAGTACAGATGGCTAGCTGAACAACTAGTGATGGTGGAAGATTTTTCTTCTTTTAATGAAAATCAAAATAAAATTGAGACTTAAGGAGTGGAGACAGAAGGGCACTGACCAACCAGAGCTGGGTTTTGCCCTGCTGCTGGTCCTCAGCTTGCTGAGCTCCAGGCTGGTAGCAGCCAGTTGGCTAAAGAAAGGGGCTCTGGCTCTGGGTGAATTGATGGTGGGTGAGAGCCAGTTTTCCATTTGGTGAGTAGCTGTAAGCAGGAGCTTTTCCAGCTAGAAAAGATTCCCTATGGTTCCTTGATGGCAACTGGACATTGCAGTACATCTAAGTTGTCAACAGAGCACTTGGCATAGAGCTTGCAATCTCCCCATGCATGAGACCACGCATTGTTTCACTTCTGGCTTCAATTTCACCTAAGTCTTTTTCTTTTTAAGCCTAAACTGTACCTTTTTTTCTTCCAGGCTCTTGCCATTGCATTGCTGCTGTTAACAAGCCCTTGAGTTGCCTATTTAAATCTCTTCCTAAAGGAGGGGAATTGCTTGATGAGCTTGAATCCTAATTAGAAAGCTATATAAGTTCTTTTAAAGGTCGTGGGGGAAGTTAGACTATAGAAACATCAAGAGGAAGGACTGGAGAGAGTATGTATGCCTCTGCCTTTCCCATGGCTGTCACTGGGTATCTCCACCACCAGCTGGATGCACAGCCAGGACTTCCCAAGATACTGATACACTGTGACGGCTCATGGGACTCAGGGCTGGTAATGGGATACAGAAGCCTTCACCTGCAGGTCACTAGTCAGAGTGTGGGGCATCTCCTTGTGCCTGCCAGATGGCTAGCTTTTGTTTCTCACTAAGCTGCATAATGCTGAATCCAGCCCTGGTTGTCACCTTTCAGACAGTTTAGCTGCACTTCCTCGAGCTAAGCTGAAAATGCCTGTAATTAATTTCTGCCGTGACATCGTTAACTAGACGAACCTAGCTTTACAACCTAATTAGCATTTGCCTTTTGCCAGAAAAGCGAATTGATTTTTATTTCACTTTTGCAAATTCTTACAGCACTGGGCTGCAGTGCAAATACTCGAGTCAAGCTGAGCTGTTTCCAATATCAATTATATCTGGCCTTGAACAGAAGTCCATTTAAGTGTCATTTAATAAACGAAGTTTAAAGAATGTGTGGCCCTTGGACATCTGATGGATCAAATTAAGGTTTAGCAATGTGTGGATTTGTGGGAGTGACTTTACTGGTGGTTTTAAGCCCAAGATGAGTGGAGCCAGGCTTCCTTCTAGAGTTTCCACAACATCCGTTATGCCGTGTCTGTGTTCTGCAGGAACAGGAAAATCTGAGGCTGTGGAATGACTCAAATTATAATAATATTTTATTAGATGCTAGCCCGGAGGGGAGGAACCCGGGTTGCAGGGGGGTCTTGTGCCAAAGCAATTCTTCTGCAGGAGTGCTGGTGACTTGCATGGGCTCTGCGTTGCTGTGGAGTGTTGCTCTGCCCAAGTGACACGGGCAGTGTTTATTGTGTGAGCTGTCTTAAAGAAGACAAAGCAAATTAAAACCGTGGGTTCGCACACATCTAAAATATGCATTTTCCTGTTTGCATGCAGGTTTTAATTAAAAACAACTTGTCATGTGTGCTTTCAGATAGCTGTGTGTTACAGACCCTGAATCAAACGGCAAATGGATCTGAGTGCCTGCATTGCTTATCTTCTGGAGCTCACTCCATCTTCCTTCTGATTCCTTGAGGAAAACTGTTTCATCTTTTAATTTTACTGCTTCTAACTTAGTTTTCCAGCAACACGAGGTTCCTGTGGAGGTCAGAATGTACTGACCTCTGCATAAACATGGAAAAAAAGAGGTATTTTTAAGCCCAGAACCTCACACTAACAATATTACTGCTTCAGTTGCAAACATGATTCATTTCAGTCAAGGCTGCTGGAAAAAAACAATAATGGTAGTGTGCTCGGGTTGCAGGGCTAGCAAGCCAATCCATTAGCTGTTCTGAATATGTAAGGTGAAGAATTTGATGCAATCCAATGAGCATGATCAAAGCCAAGGTGGAGAATGCATAGCCATGAAAAGCTGATTTACTTCTTTAACCTTTGCTGCTCGTTTACTTCAGTCTTTTCAAGAGGCTAATTTAAATGTAAGAACCAACAAAACAGCAGCAATTGTTTTGGTGATACGTTATTTTACCAAAAAGTGAGATGAGAAGGAATGATTATTAGGTGAGCTGCTGTGAGAAGAGCATGGTTTTGACTTTGGCACGAGTGATTATTTGTCGTGATAGCGGTCGACTTCATTAAAACACTGTCCACATACCTGGCTTGCTCTGATGGGGAATATTGTTACACAGGACAACAGAAACCTTGTTCAACATGCAGGAGAGTATGCTTAACTCACTTTCATTCTGTTTCTTTTTCCTCTGTACTGCGCATTCATTATGTATCTCCTTGGGAAAAAAAGCAATCCATCCCCCAAGCAGTGCCCTGTTGCATGGAATGTGCTGCTGAATGATGCTGCTATTCAGTTCCAGGCTGAGTTGAGGTCTCCCAGGAGCCCTCTTTTTTCTTTATTGATTTACATTGAGGGTGGTCTCGCTCCATGGCTGTGCATACGAGCTCCGGAATAGGTCATTGAGCTCTTACTTGTGGAAACATGGGTGTGCCATGGACTGAATAGAATTAATGATGGCTTTTAGCTCAAGATACAAGGCTAAGATTATATTCTGCACGTGACCTGCTTAAAATGGGATAAGTGGGTGTCAGGATAAAGATGGGAGCACGCTCTTTGCTTATGAATCAATCCCATCCCTGTACAGCCAGTATTTTCATTGCAGGAACACTTACAGTGGGGTGGTGAATCAAATCAACTCTTTGAAAGGGTAGATAACAGCAGGACAAGGGAAAATGGCTTAAAGTTGAAGGAGGGAAGATTGAGGTTGGATGACAGCGGGAAGTTCTTTGCTATGAGAGTGGTGAGGTGCTGAACAGCTGCCCAGAGAGGCTGTGGATGCCCCATCCATCCCTGGAGGTGTTCAAGGCCAGGATGGGGCCCTGGGCATCCTGGGCTGGTATTAAATGTGGAGGTTGGTGGCCCTGCATGTGGCAGGGGGTTGGAGATTCGTGATCCTTGAGGTCCATGAGAACCCTGGCCATTCTGTGAAATCACTGCTTTGCATTTCAGGATTTGGCCTGAGAAGTGGGTTTATTCGTGCTGTTTTGAATGCAAGCCTGAGTTCCCTTTCTGATGACTATTGGAGACAGATGCACTTACTCAGGCACCCAATGCCTTTTGGCTTTCCCATTAACGCAGTAAAAGCTAATGAGAGAAGTTCACAGTGCTAATGTACTTGCCTGGAACCTTTGAATGACAGCAGGTCAGCTGGGCTTTCAGGCAGAACTGCCTTCAGTTCAGATTTGGAAGTTTTCTCACTAAATATAAACTGAATTCCATCAGGGTTTAAGTGCACACAAAGTAACTGAATTGCTTCAGGAAGAAAGTTTGGTGCTTGGCTTGGGGAAGACTTAAGGAGAGGTGCATATGTAGTGTAAAAGAGCTGCTCAGTGCCTGTGTAGCAGTGCTTGCTCAGCCCCAAATATTTTATCACTGCCTGTTTTAAAAAGGAAATTCAGAAGGAATCCACAAATTTTGTGTTGCTGGGGTCTTTAAAGCTGCAGATCACTGTGTTGACTTCCTGCTTTTGCTTTTTAAGTGGCTTCGTAACACAGAAGAGGAAGACCAGTGTGCATAAATCTGGTGAATCTCTTGTAAAGGAAGTGCAGCAGCTGTTGGAAGTTGATGCAAGAAGTGATACAGAAATTCTCTGAGGGTAGCTATGCCAACCTTGGATGTTTTTTTCCAAAACTTAAATTGCATAAGCAGCTCCATCAGTTGAAACAGCTCAATTCTTCTATGAATGAAGGAAATTCTCATATTCTTCCAAAGTGGATTGGGGTTTTCTTCCCCATTTCATTCCGAAACAAACTGAAGGAGGAAAGAATATATTGCCTGAAATCCTGGAGCAAAGAGAGAGTGAGTGGTTAGAAATCTGACTGCAAAATGGTACTGAATTATAGTACAATATCTTAGTTTAGTAAGTAGATGCTGCAAGGCATTCTCTGCTATTCCTCTAAGATCAGCTACAGCTCATACAGACTAAAAAAGTGTCTGTGCTTATGCACATTTCTGTTACTGAATCATCCAGGGAGGAGTTTAGTTCATCATTACTACAGGGAAATGCAATTCATTGTTTTTAAGATGTAATTAATGTGCCAAGGGTTCCTTCTGGTCACTGAGAGCTTGTGCTGTCCCAGTAAGCAGCGCAGCAACGCCCTCAGCACGGCTGGGATCTCCAGGAGTGGCACTTGTTGGTGTTCTGCATGGAATTTTTGGAATTTTAATAATAAATCCTTAATATTACTTTATGAAAACAGGGGCTTCAGGGGGTAAACGTGGCAAAAAGCCTGCAGCTGTAACAGCACAGGCAGAATCATCCCAGCGACCTCTGAGCACCGCTCAATAACAGCCTGACTTTATTTGGCTGTGTGATTTATTTAATTTAATTTTTTTTTTTTTTGGTCTTGGGCGTGAGAATTCGTGGAGTTCTGTAAGGATTGAATAGAACTTTAGATGGGAATTTGCAGGTTTTTTCTTTTTTTCCTGAGGGGTCTTTAGTTGGTGATCTTGGATCTCAGATTTGTCTTTTGCAGATGGGGACGGTGCTGTCATCCCTGCCTGTTTGGGGTCAGTGGGTTTGGAACAACAAGGCTTAGTGCTCCACATCCCTCTGTGGCATCTGAGTGTTTTGCAGTGATGCTTTAACCAAAGTCCTCCCTCTGCTGTGTTCCTCATTCTTTTCTACCCAAGGGATCCTCTCTTGAAAAAGAGGGCACCCTGAGGAGGGGGGTGAGGGGCTTTGCTGTGATCCTTGGTGCAGGAATACTGATGCCTGTGTTAGGAGATGGATTGGTTTTACACAAGTGTGTGTGCATACATGCACATATTTTATTAACCAGCATGGTAATGGTTGGCCAGCTGCCTGGAAACTGTTCTAAACTGTACCCAGAGAGGGAGTTTGTGAAAAATACATTAGTGCATACGGATGGCGTGTTCTTTTAGCAGCTCTCTGCTTTCCACTCCATTATAAATATTTACCTTGATTCATCAGTCCTCCACAATTGCTTTACTGGCCGTCCTTGGCAAGTAGCTAACATTCAGACTGCGTATATTTAAGCACACTGGACCACACCAGTGGTTAGGTAATTAAATCTGAAATTATTGGAGGCGGGCTGTTAATAGCAAAAGCTGTTCTTAAGAATACCGCGCTCTCCTAATTTTAATCTCATTACCTTCTCTCTCTGTATTTTTTCTCCACAATCAGGTCCCAAGCCTCTGTGAAGATCTCCTCTCTTCTGTTGATCAGCCATTGAAGATTGCACGAGATAAAGTGGTAGGAAAAGACTATCTATTGTGTGACTACAACAGAGATGGAGACTCGTATAGGTGAGTTCCTATCCCAAGAAATGAGCTAACTGGTTTTTTCTGCATCAGAGTATTGAAGTCCCTTCTCCCTCTTATCCTGATCCAAAAAAGGGAAATTTAAATGATATTAAACTGTATTAAACTCATCTTGGTGATAAGCCTGGTACTGTTTCAAACCCTGACAACTGTAGAATGCTTTGCTTTCAGACAACGTGGTTGTATAGCCTCTAATCTGATGACCTTAGCAGCTCAGGTCCCTGTCTGTCCATCTCAGAAACAAGATATGTTTTATCCTAGAAACCCCAGGACTTTGTGTGTTTTCTGTACCAAGATCTGTAGTCATTCACTCAAGCCTAAAATCTGATGTTGTTATCCTGTTAAAGGGCTGACACTAACGGGTTCCTCTTAGGCTTCCTGTAGCACAGCTCTATCTTTGAGGATTGGAACCAATTGGATCTCCAGAACTGTGGTGTGAAATTAAATCATCACTTGTTGCAAGGTTGTAAGATGTTTGGAATGGCTGACAACAGAGAAAAATGATGATTCAGGCAGCAAGTTTAAATAAAAGAATTATTGGTTTGTACAAAGCAGCGTGGACTTGCCAGCTGGGAAAGCTGCTTTCAGTTGTGTTTTCAAGGGGTTGTTCTCATTTTGGATGTGCAATGTCATTAGTTCTCAATGACAATCTTGGCCCCAGCTTTCAGTGAAGGAAAAGAATCCCTTTCTACCAAAATAGCTAACTTATTTTGAGAACTGCAGGCGAAGACAATGAAAATATTTGAACAATATGAGCTTTAGATAATTATAATAAATTTCAAAGTGGAAAGAGCTGTAATAATACGATGAGTATTCAGGATATTGGCAGCCACTTGGAACGCAGTCTCTCCTTTTATGCTTTTCTTCCATACCTTGCCATTAGGATGATTATATTTCAGCAACCAATGCTTAAAGCTATTTGTTTTCCTTCCTCCATTGCCTGCCTTTTGTTAATGTCCGTAGCATCGGTGCCATAGTTCCAAATATTTTGATAAAGAATTACAGAGCTCATCCAGAAGCCTTTTGAGTATTGCATCACCTGGCTTCTGCTCTTTTCTCCTAATGAAGGCTGCTACACCAGGAAGTAATGAACACCATCCATCTTCTGTCCTGAGTTAGCAGCTCAGCTGTTCCACCTCCTCTTCTGGTTCCGATTAGAGGCTTAGATTCTGTGCTCCCTTTCTGGTTTGGTGTAATAGCTTATGTTTGCAGTGCTAACAATTGGAACTGCTTTGCAGTAAGAGTTTAGCTTTCCTTTGCTTCACGGTGGTGATTTATGTTCATTTGGCCAGAAAGTTTCAAGAATTCTGTTCTAAGTTGGAATTCCACAAAATATTTTGATTTTTCTTTGGCTCAGATCATCACTGCAGACACAGGTAAGTTTATGAAGGATTATAACTTAGTTGGTTTCGGTCACAGGAAAGGTACTTAACTGAAAGCACATCTGTCTGTAGATGATTGATACAGGGAACACACTGAGATTCATCTTGCCCTGTTAGTGTGAGGAGCAGACTGCTAATGGATGTGGAGTTTGACAGTGCATCTGAGTTGTGGCCAACTGTAAATGACAGAGAGCTTTTTTTAAGTATATCCTCTATTGCAGTGGGCCCAGAGGTAAGCAAGTCTCTAAGGTGAAGTTTCTGCTCATGTTCTGAAAGGTACGATCCTAACATTGAGATCTTCTCCAGGCCACCACAAGGTGTGTGTGTGCACAGCTCATCCTTTATGGCATGTGCAGGAGGACGGAGCATACCACAGATAATGTATTTCTTGTGGGTCCTTCATGAGATGCTTTCTCCCTGAGGCTGTGATGTGTTTCTAACAGTCTCTTGGGATCTTTGTTAGACTGTTGACATGAGTATCTATCACCAGATGCTCAGAAAAATGGAAAAGGCACTTGTTAAACTGTATTGCAGCATGCTGCAATAACTAATAACAGTTGCCCCTCCCCATTCCCTAGCACTCCATGTTTGATTACTGCATTTGGAAGCCCTTTCTTTAAGGTTAGTTTCATGCTTGCCTCTGAAATTTACTCAGTCTCTTCCCTACTATATCCCTACTCAGATACTTAAAGACTAACAGGGAAGCAGGAGGACTTATTACATCATGAGGTTTCAGAAAAGGTATTTTATTTCTTTGCAGTGAGTAGCCACAATGTATAAATTGTTGGCATTAGAGAATGCTGTTCTTTCTCTGAGGCTTTTGGTTCAAGTGTTCTGGATCAAAGCGATTCTCCCTTCTGGAACTGATTGGCCTCAGCTCTGTTTCACAAAGTAAATTCCTTCCTTCAACAGAAAGCAAAAGCCTTTGAAAACCAGGCAATGTGAACATGTGCATGTGTTGATCCAGTCGGTGCCTGTGTTCAGATAATGCTATTCATACCTCATAAATTCTGAAGTTGTTACTGGGAAGTGGCTCTTGCACTAATGTGATCAATTAGACCCGAATCGAGGAGGAGTGTTTTATACTTTCAAAAGCTTTTGATATTTCCACGCAGGTTTTCAGAACCCCACTCACTGGGTGAGAAGTCACAAGAAGTGCTGCAGTCACCTGCAGAGTGCTGTGTCCCCAGTTACTGCATGCTTTGAACTAAACTTCAGTTTTCTTCTCTTGGAGACTTTACCAATTGCATTTCTTTTAATACAAATCCAAAGATTTGAAGATGTTCTGTGGACAGCTGAGCCTTGTGTGAATTCTGCATGGAAGCCTGGAGCTTCCTCACTGGGAATCGAGCTTTGTAGGCCTTTTTTGAGCAGCTTTACAGTTGGACTGGGTGGCAGCTTTGAGAAAAAACAGGGATGTTTGTCCATTCTGATGACTGATAACCTCACATGTTTCATGGGGGCATCCTTCAAGGAAATTAATATCCTAACTGCTGAGCCACTCGCAGTTGACTCCTTCCTTGTATTAAGGAATGTGATTTTCTTTGTGTTGGCGTGGATCAGACCACAAAGTACATCCTGGAGTCTCTCTTGGATCTTCATATGTCAGTACTTTCACATTTCATCATATTATCACGCTGCTGCTTATGTGATCGGCCTCTTCTGTGTGTATGCTTGCAGGCAATTCTATGAGTGCTCCTGTAATAAGAGGAAGGTTTGGGAGCATATCAAAAGGCAGTGGAATCCACATTGTGAAAGCAGACCCTTTTTTTCTTTTTTTTTCTTCAATATATAGGACTTCAAGGTCTCTGACTTTGTCCGTACATTCCCATTCAAAGTATGTTTGATCACTCCATTAAATGGAATCCTTATGGGGAATTTGGTGCCAACAACACTGAAGCCTGTTAACTGAAACAAAAAACATTCTCTTTTAGGGAAATTAGAGGTCTGACTTTAGAAATTTAAGTGCCCTTGTCCATCTGTCTTTCTTCAAATAGCCTCCATTAAAGCTTTTAAATGCATTGTGAATACTCTTCCACAAAGAAAAAAAAAATTATGGGGTTGTGTTATGAATTTTTTTAGGTGAAGCTGCTTCTGGCTCCAACTATAATGGGTTGAAAATGCTGCGGTCCGCTTGCTAGAAAGACTCAGTTGCTGGCTTTCCCTTCAACACCATTCCAGCAGCCTGCAAAAGAGATCTGAGCAAGGAATCAGAGAATGGCTTGGGTTGGAAGGGATATTCGGTATCATCTAGTTCCATCTCACCTGCTGTGGATGGGATTGCCACCGACTAGATCGTGCCACTGTCTTGTTTCTCTCCATTTTGGATGCAGAAGCTTCCACCTAGTACACCTCTCAGCTTTTTTTGACATTTGCAGTCAACTTAGATAACTTAGTTATCTTTGGGCTGTAAATGCAGTTCTGAGTCTAGCAGTACCTGCACTACAGGCTCAGTAGCTCTTTGTCTTATATATTTGGAAATAAGCATCTGTCTGACTTAAGGAAACAAAGCATGAAGGGGCTGCTGATCTGATCACAAACCAATCAGTGTCAGAAGTGGGAAACTGAAGCTTTTTACAAGCATCTGGTATCACAAGTCTCATTTATCTCAGTCTTGCATCAGTTTCTCTGAGAATCTCCTTTAAATATTTGCAGTTCCATTTTCTTCAAGTTCTTCACTTCACGCAGAGAAATCTCATTGTCAGGTGCCATTTGCAATTTGCACTTCATGTATTTCCACTGTGCCTTTACCATTGGTTCTTTGCTCATCCACCTGGGTCTCTTTGGTGCAGGCTGGCTTTTAGCATGCTGCCCAATGGGTGCAGGTGTCCCATTTGGGAACCTTTTGGGGGATTTTTTTTTTTTTTTTTCAGATCTCTTCTGGATTTCAGTGGACTGTTAGGTAAATAAATGTTAGCTGTCTTCTTCAGAGCAAGTGAGTTTTAAGCAACTATTTTAAAATGAGAACCACCAGCTGAAAAACATTGCCCTGGGTGGATGTGACATGGTGATTTAGCTTTTCCTGATCTCTCACCTATTTGTTCAGATGTGGTCGGGAGGAGAGGGGTGAAGTGCTGTGAAAGCACGAGGGCAGCATGAAGCAGAGCCTGTTCTTTGTGCTTTGCATTAAACACGTCCAAACGAGTTACTTGTCTGAGAAATGAGTAACAAATGGGTAGTGAGGAAAAAGCCCTTACGTATGGACTGCATTAAGACCTAGCGTTAGTCCACTGGAGTATTCTGAAAACTGAGTGGGCAAAAGGTGGAGGTACCTTTTCTTAAACTAGCAGTGATATATGTAGGTTGGTTATCCCCAGGGGAAATGAAGAGGAGAATGCAACTTTGCAGAAAGGGAGTTATAAAAGTCTCAAGCATTAATCTTTTAATACCAAATCTTTCATTAGGAGCACAAAATCTCTTCCACACCTGCAGAAATAGTACAATAAAAACTGCAGCTTTACAGACCCTATTAAACCCTGTGCATTGTTCAAACATTTTCCTACCATTGTGCTAAAAGACAAGTTTATTTGAAAGCAAAATAGTGGAGGAGAATTTGGACCTTAATTGTAGATGGCAAAGTTTAGCTCGAATATTGTCAGATGCCAAACAAGCTGCATAATGTATTTGTATTTGCATGGAAATAATTTTAAATACCTGATGTGTAACAGCTGAGGTTGAACCTTTGAATACTTGAGAAGGAGCAGATGCAAACCCAGGCGTAGTTTTATACATTTATAGCATAAACTCAAAGGATGCTCGCCATTGTTGGACAGGTCAGGCCCACCACTCTGACCTCTCTGAGTTTCCCTGTTGTCTGACTCTGCTTTCCTTGTCTCCTTGGCAGATCACCGTGGAGTAACAAGTATGATCCTCCCCTGGAAGACGGTGCCATGCCATCTGCTCGCCTGCGCAAGCTGGAGGTGGAAGCCAACAATGCCTTTGACCAGTATAGAGACTTGTATGTCAGTTCTACCATACACAGCCCTCTACTTCCTTTGTTTCCTTCAGGAGGCATGCAGTACATATATTGGCCTGAAATGCAGTGCCACTGAGGGTGGCATATGTGTGTATACTGGAGGTGGAAGGGTAGGCAGCAGCTGATCTGCTGGGAACACATCACCTGTGATTTCGTGTTGGGAAAGCACGATCCAATTTGCCAGCTGATGCTAACAGCAGAAGCTGAAGTGCTTTCTTGGCTCTCTCATCTCTTGAATAGATTAATGGCATCTTTGTCCTGAAATGACTTTGTTCTCTTTGATCTCAACTAAGTTCAGTCCTAAAGCATCTGCTTTTTCTGTTCCCTCAAGACTCTCTCCAAATATCTACCTCTATAGCAGAAGCTTGCACATCTTGTCAGATTGCAGGCGTTGATTGTGAAATGTGGCAGTGGTGTGGGGAGTCATGTACTTCTGCAAAGATGATTGTGTTTCAGGCTTTGTCTTGTGAAAGAGATGTGAAGGGAAGGAACTAGTGGAAATGTGTGAGAACAGTGTAATTAGGCTGTATCCTTTCAAAGCTGCAGTTGCAGTTTTTCCAGGTGACTTGTCAATTAAACAGTCTTGCTAAAAGGAGGGAATGCACTTGTCTTGCATTGCATCCACAACTGTCTTCTGTACAGCCTGTGGTCTCCTAAGCAGCAATAGTATGGAAACAGTCATGTTAAATCTAAAAAGCAAAGGTGTGTGGAAAGCAAAAGAAACTTACTCCTTTACCAAAGTTGGGATGCTCTCACGTTGGAGATCCCTAGTGACCATGGAATAGGTGAACAGCATTCATTGCTTCATGTTGCATCCAGGTGGAGATAACTTAGATGTAGTTAATCACGTGTCACTTGAAATTTACACTATTTTAGTGCTAACAAAGGCAGCTTAAAAAGGAAAAAATATTCTTGCTGATTTTCTACTCATTTTAAGATGTTATTTGATGTAAGTGTTGCCTGTCCAGACATAGAGTCTTCTCTTATAGATACCAAATTCTACTTTTCTTGCAATATGTGAAGGTATCCGATCTCTAATAACAGTTGTTATGGGTGTCTGAATCCACTGAAAGATTGCATTTCTGCATATGCAGCAAAGAGAGGTTTGCAGTTTCCCTTCAGGTGCAGAACGGACCCAGACGAGTAGGGGTTTTTGTTCAGTAAGGTGAAAATGAGTAGCTTTCTGGAGCAGAGATTGAGCACAGAATCCCTCTGTGATCACTGACCATGAAGTCACAGCTGGATACAATAACTCCTCTAAAGAAGTTTGCAGAAAGGAAAGCTCAGTACAGCCTGCCCTCGGACTCAGTGAATCTGCTGATCCCTCTCGGCATGGGGTACAATAGTAGCATTAATATACTGTATGGAAGTAAAAAGGAAGATTTTATCAAATTTCATCTTTCAGTTAGCCAGTCCAAGTTTGGCAGGCAATACATTGTGAGAGGGATGCAGGAGGGATTGCTCACAAAAACTTCATTCTTGTGGCATCAGCCAGAAATGACTGAGGCATTATGGCTTGCAGTACAGACTAGATAAGAGCATCAGTCAGCAGAACACACTTTGATGCACGTTAGGATCTCAAAAATGTGTCAGAAAAAGAGGAAAAGGGTGGCTTATGTTTTGCTGAGTGGTGTAAAAACTGTAGTATTTTTGGAAAGAATTTGCAAAGTTAGGGAAACTTAACCCAACCGCTTGAAGGGTTCCTCATGCTTGAAATTGGAAGTGATTTGTGCTTTACCTACAACAGAGGTCTGGATAGAAACGTGCTTTTGTTCTTGTAGCTGGACTCTGCAGTTTCCTTAACAATTGGATTTGGTATTTTGACAGCAAAAGCTTAATTTTTACTTGGAGATTGGAGGGGAAAAAATGAGGTGGTGGTAACAAGTGCCAGCTTTTCACACTTCTGCTGCCAGCAGGTCAGATTGGGAATGGCTGTAACAATTACTGGCATAACAGCTGCTGAAATCATGTGGGAGCCCAAAGCATAGGGAAGCTTATAGTGGGAAGAAGATGGCAATTGCAGTGATGTCATTTCCATGGTCTGCTGGAGCTGGAAACTAATGGTATATCTCCACTGCAAAGGTCTGAGTGCTGTTGATTCAAGGTGTCACTGGCCTTCTGGTTTGGTTCTAGGCATTCATTCACAGGGAACACCAGGCTCCAGTGTGCTTGAACTATATTGTTGAACTATAATGAATGTTTCTGCTAGGAGGTGTTTCAAAGCACTTTGAGGCTTTGTTTCTTAGCCCTGCTGGGCTGACCCACTGTCTCTTGTGCTTGCACTTCTCCAGGCACTCGTGGAAAGACATTGCACTGTATGGGGCTTGTCGTTGATTGTAGGGCTGAAAAAGGAAGATTGTGTGCAGAGGTGAGTTCAGGCTGCCAAAGCAGTTTGTGTTAATTGCACCAGAAGAGCCTTTGCACAAGGAAGCAAAGTTTAAAAACAACAACAAAAGCAAATCCAGCCAACAATCTGCAGCATGCATGGTTGTCTGGCATCAGATGTTAGCCTGCAGGTGGGTGTGAGCAGGTCAGGATGAATGACCTTCACCTCACCTGAGACAAAATACTGACCATAATAAAGGGATAAAGCATTTCCTACCCTGGCCTAAATTAGTGCATTGGAAGCACTTGTTTCTGAGATGTTGCTCTGCATGGTGCTCAGCTTTCAAATGCATCTTAGAGAAGCCATTCCAGTGGGGGAGCGGAAGAGGAGGATGTTTACTTACCAAAGGAAAATAAGTACTTTAGAGAATATGTGCTTTTCCCACTCAGCTCTCAGCACGCAGTCCAAGCTTCCTCTGGATTATCTCCCTTTTTACCTTCATGCACAGTAAGTGATAATATCTCACAGAGTTCATGTTGAGCCTCTTCCAAAACCTCAGCTCGTTTCAGCTTTTCCTCGTGCCGGTTGCATTTGGCCCACATACCATTCCTTTCTAGATTTCTGTTGTAATCAGGTGTGGTTAAGTATCCACCTACATCTCATGAGTCATCAGCATGGATCTGCCATTTCCCAAGGGTTGACACCTGCTGGTGTGGGTGGTTTGAGGAGAGCAGCCTGTGGTGCATTTGTTAACAATCGGTGTGAAATAATCCGTTCATGTTTGTTTGCTGGTGACATACATTTGAGTTTTGCCCCTAAAAGCTTATTGAGCAGCACACGGGGTGACTGCAGTGTGAAAACAACTTTGGAGGAGTCTTGTAGAGTCCCACAAAGTAATTTCAAATCGTGAAAGCTTGAGAAAAGCTTTCCTGGGGTGTGGAAGGTTCAGTGCTTCCTAACCAGTGCTACGTTATTTCCTCTAAACATCGCTTGGCTGCTCACCTTTTATGTCTGGAAATCTCCTTGGGTTGAAGAGGAATCATACTCATTTTTTGCTCTCACAGCAAGTGTATTTCTCAGTTATCAGTTTGACCAAAATGTATGTCAGTTTCCCCCCCGAAAACCCCACCAACTTTAATTTTGATCTCCTGCTGCCAGGTTTAACTCAGACACTGCCTGAAGCTAATGCCCCGGTATGTTTTTGTTCAGCAGGTTATTATTCCCAGATGGAAGCCTAATATCTCATACCATTCAGTGAGGGCTTTGGCTTTCCACTTCCAATATTGTGAAGATAATTTCTTCAAACACATGGTTGTAATTTATTGCCCTTTGCTTGACGTGTGTGTGCGCAATTGATTGAAATCAAAGCATAATGAGGACCAGGGTGGCTGGGTAAATCTATTTTAGATCCTGCATTCTGTTGTTTTGGGTTGGAGATAATCAGTGCTTTAATTAAGTAATCTAATCGCTCTTTGTTGTCTGGAAGGAATCGTTTCTGAAGTGATTAAATAGACCTCCCTGGGGAAGGATGCTGCTGCTCTGGGTGTTTCTACAAACAGGATGATTTTTGGCAACTCCAGACTAGTTTAGTAAGTGTACATACATCTAGAGAGCTGTTCTTACCTCTTCATTTCTTGGGCTAAGTTGAATTTCTTGGTGGTTTTGATTTTTAACAGCTGTGTCCAAAAAAAAGAAAAAAATCCATCCTCATGTTGATCATTCAGCTTCTGTAAATATTGTTATTGATTAAGACTTGGAGTTCCTTCAGCAGGGTAAGCCATGAAGCCTTGAACTTCCGCTTCTGTCTTTGAATAGATGTTGATCCATTTTCAATTTGTTATGTTAGGGCTCTGGATGAGGAATTTAATGGGAGTGGAAGGAGGTCTGGGAGAGGATTGACCTCTAAAATATGTCTTTATTGTGCGTAATCCTCTTGTTATTGAATGTTGGATTGGAGTTGTGTCTGAAGTGGAGTTAAAAACAAGCTGGCACCTCACCTTTTAACTTTCAGAGTACTCCATTTACTCTTCTTGGTGTTTTATGTCACTGAACAGCCTGGGTTCTCTCCTCTTTGGGGATCACAGAAGTGGAGTCATAGGTAGAATAGAGATGTCTCATTTTGGGGCTCTGCGCCATCGTCTCTACCACCAAGCGCCTTTAAGCCCTGGAGCTCTGGGTAGCTTTCCCCTTTTTAGCTGTTCTTCTGGTTTTTTGCATCCTGTTACATGATCTGACTCCGAGATCCTCCAAGTGGATTTCTTTCATCCGAGTTTGAAAATATTTTGTGCTGCTGGCAAGGTTGGTAGCAATTCCTTTATTTACCAAGCTGCTGTGTGTTGACTCCTTTTGCGTATGGAGCGGTGCTGATTCCACCACACTGATGGAAGCAGAGCGGCAGATGGAGGAGGTGCAGCTCACGGCTGAGTTCAGCACAGCCCTGCTTTCAGCTCACCAAGGGACCAGGCAGCTGCACGCTCTCTCTGTAAGCATTCTGTCTGTGTTTAGATGTAAACCTACTTTGCCTAAACTGAAAACCCATGGAAAGCTTTGAAGTGACTTTATTGCCATTAGCTCACTGTTCCTCATTAATGGTTACTAGCCCTTTGTGCTGGCTTTCTCTTGGGCTCCAGAGTCGCTGTGGTTTGCACAGCGAGAG